TTGGATGCTGAGATTAAGGAGTTTCCCTAACTTATCATTTTGGGGGTCTGTGTAATTCTTTTAGGTCATTAGTTCCTTCTGTTTTCGAATTCCGAGGTCGGAATTCTTTGTAAGGTGGGTAGACTGTAACGCCCCGTTTGATTATGAATTATTGAAGATTATTATTATTATTATTATTATTATTATTATTATTATTATTATTATTATTATTATTATTATTATGTTGTGTTATATGTGCATAGTGGTGAGAACGCTTTTCATCTTGTGCTCATCCCCACCTGCTCTTTACCGATGCAGGTTAAGTGACAGCCGGGTGACGAGGAAGAGACGAGTTGGGTCGGTCTAATTACTTATGCATTTTTATTGCTTCCGTTGAACTTGAATAAGTTTGTTGCACGTCATGTTTTGTGCAAACTATTTTCGAACCTCGTGTGTTGATTTTGAAACTTATGAACCTTTGACGTTTTGGGATTGAGGTTTGGCTATTTATTTCATGAGTTTATGTTGGCTAATGAAAACCGATTGTGAAAAACCGGGTAATGAATCCCCGTAGGCCCAGATAAGACTTGGGATATGAAAAATGTTAGTTAACACCCACTAAGTTTTCGAAAATGATTTTGAAAATTTTATACTGGTTTTTGGAAAATTCGAAATTTCTGTAAAATCAAAGTGGGGTGTTACAGTTGGAAACGTGTGAAGGAAGTGGGATGGAAAGGTGTGGGGAGGCTGAGGAGATGGATAATGGGTTAGAGGGTTGGGCAAAAAAGGAGAAGGTCCAATAATGAGATTGGGTAAACTGGGCTGAGGTTTGGAGAGATGGGTTAATATGATTGGTTAAGATGGGCTGGGGTTTGAGTTAGGAAAAGCTGGGTTGGGGAGGGGAATGGGCTAAGGAAGTCCCAATAAGGAAAGAGGTGATATGTGTGTTAGGGGTAGAAAGTGGGCTGCGATCTTGGTGGGCTGGGGGTAGAAAGTGGACCGGATCATTATGCCCGCAGAGGTGAGCTGTGGGTTCGCATCTGCTAATGTCACGCTGCTAGGTGAGTTGGGGATCGATTATTTGACTGGCGATGAGGAAAGCTTCGACTGGAGGACCGATGGAATGGAGTCAGGAACAGCTTTTTCAATTGATTCACCTGGGAGCTTCAAAGCTTCAAGATCAGGAGCGGATTTTTGAGAGGTTAAATTCTTTAACTCCATGGAGGTATCTTTAATGGCGGATGAGGGTGTGAAGCTCAACACCTGGGGCGGTTTGCGATTGGAATCGCCGTCATTAGAGGGGAAATCATCGCCCAAGGACGAAATCTGAGTTGGGTTATCACCTTCTTCTAGATTGTTCAAAAGGCCCAAAAGAGCCGTGCGAATTTCTGGCTGTGTGAGGACTGCGACCAAATCCATCAGGGGGTAGCCGGAGAAGGGTTAGGAGACATGGTATTTGACGGAAAAAATAAAGAGAGAGCGGCGCCTCGGGGTGGGCCGCTGGAGAAGCGCGAGGAGCGGCTAAGAGAGGGTGCTGGACGGTGGGGATATGGTGGAAGGGGGAGATAGGGTTAGAGAGAGAAAAGTAGAGAGAGGTGAGAGTATTTTTTTTGTTTTTTTTATTGTATAATTTGCTAGGTTAGTTGTATGATTGTGCTAGGCTAGTAGTTGCTAGGTTAATTTTCTGAATGTGCTAGGTTAGTTGTATGATTGTGCTAGGTTAGTTGTATTATTGTGCTAGGTTAGTTAACTGATGGTGCTAAGTTAGTTTTCTGATGGTGCTAGGTTAGTTGTATGATTGTGCTTGGTAGTTGTCTGATGGTGCTAGGTTAGTTGTATGATTGTGCTAGGTTTTTTTTTTCTTTTTTAATTAACAACGCCTTGAGGGGCGGGGGGATTGGGCTGGATCCCAGACCTTTACATAGATCAAAACCCTAAAATGGGCCAAAAACAATCAACATATTCTCACAAAACAAAAATGAAAATCATAAAATGAAAATAATACAAGGTCTTTCATCGGGCTAACAGGTGCCCGAAATAAATGGATGGTCTAAATAAAACAAAAACAAAAACCCTAATATACTGGAATCAAAATGATAGATATCCCAGCTGATCCATCTGAACTAGTGTGCGAAGGCAGAGTGGAGCAATGTCGGTCTGATACGTGTGCGTGTCTGGTATGGTAGCGCCAAGGCTAGCAAGGTAATCAGCAGGTCTGTTCCCCTCACAGAAGATGTGTGTGATCCTGTAATGGACAGACCGAAGTAGATCTCTAATGCGCATAGACGGGTTTTGAATCTGCCACGAGCCTTGATGACCCGAGGTCAGGAGGGTGACGACAGCCGCAGCGTCCAGCTCAATCCAAATATGACTAGAGAGGTCGGCAGCAATCTGAAGGCCAATCTGTAATGCCTGAATCTATGCATCGTAGCTCGAGGAGGCCTGGAGGGATGTGTGGAAGGCGGTGATAAGAGCTCCACTGTGGTCCTGGATCAAGCCTCCTCCTCCGGCAGTGCCGCTATGGCGATCGAAAGATCCATCGGTGTGCAGCTTGACCCAAGGAGAGTCGGGTCGAAGCAAAACAATAACTCTGGGCCGAGGGGCCTGTTGACGAGTGTTTTCGGTCAACGGTCAAGATTGAAAGTATTGAAAGTGCGGGACTAGAAATAAAGGAAAGATACAGCTTTAATTACGATTTTATTAAACGATCACGAGGTCGACCTCTCTACGAGGTCGGCACTTATGATTTACTTACAATTCTTACAAGGGATTTCTTATATTTTAGAGAGAGAAAGTAGAGAAAGCTTGAGTTAGTTGAGAATTCAACAACCCCAAAATAAATGAGGTGAGCTACTATTTATAGTACTCTTAAATGGGGTACTGTTCGCCGGTCTTGTCGTACAGTAGACCTGCAGAGCAGTTCGGCACCTCCCTGACGGTTCATTAATGCGATTTGAGGTTTCTCCAATCATTGCTTGCTAGGCATTAAATGCAGGCATGGGCAGCATTTAATGTTGATTGAACGGCTGTGACAGGCCGTCCCATCAGTGAATGATGACCCCAAGTGGTGAATATTTTAATAGCGATTGGGTCAGCGCTGCCCCTTGGCAGGGCGGCTCTGGCTTATTCAGATCGGCTCCTTTGCTCCGAAGATTCACGTGGCCCAGGTGAGCCCTTCTTCAGTTCGGTACTGGGGTGAGACCGGCTCGGCCCCCCACGTGTCCGGGTGCTGGGCTCGGG